AAACTGCCCCGTGTGACGTGAATTAATGATTCTATAAGCAATAATGCGCTTTTACATTATCCAATACTCATCAATCCAATGACTGGTAACAGTAAGATAATCACAGTCGTTACCACTTCTACCAATATCAACTGTAATAGCAACACGACAATTTATATGAGTAAATAAATAGCGCAAATATTGTTCATATTCATGTTTATATTTATAAATATCGCTCTTTACGGTTGTGCGAGGAAAAACTTTATAAGTAGGACTAAAAATTTTTCTAATATAATTCACAAAGTTAGGGCCAGAAGGAAAACTATAGGGTAAGCACATAGCAGTAACCATTTTTGCCAATTCTTCTCGATCCTTTTTTGGGTCATAATATAATATACCACCGGTAATAGTATTAATTCCCGGTTGAAATTGATTTGACCTGGTACTAGGGTCAGCCTGACTAGGAGTAGGTACACTTATCCCCTCGACCAAAGCTTGGGAATGAAGATATTTGACTTTATGTTGAGGGTGTATCAATATGTGTCTAGCCAAAGTTCCCGTCCCCCCGCGATCCAAAATATTTAAAAGCTAACTCCTTGCCACAAGTTTTACACTTAGCCTTATTTTGTGGAATTAGTTGAATAACAAATGGAGACAAGAGTGGGTTGCTCTAGTGGTGAGCACCCTCCACTTCCAACCAAGAGGTTGTGACTTCTAGTCACCCCAAGATTAAGGTGGGGAGTTCTTGGAGAGAAGGAGACGAGGGTCTATCGGAAACAACATCTCTACTCCAGGGTAGGGGTAAGGTCTGCGTACACACTACCCTCCCCAGATCCCACTAGTGGGATTATACTGGGTTGTTGTTGTTGAATAAAAAATGGCCAAACAAGAGATGTTTCTGTCCGTTTGGTATGTTGTCTAGAAAAAGTAGGGACATTAACAGAAGTATCAGACGGGGCATCATTTGGATTATCACTAGTTGGGTTAACTTCAGGAGCAGGACTAATGGGTGTATCGTCATCCGGTTGAGTTTCATCAAAATCTATTTCCTCCTCATCATTTTCATCAATAGTTGGATTAGAATAAAGAGCATTCATTAATTCATGATCTAATTGTTCACCAGCTCCAACATTATGAAAAAATTGACTCTCAGTAAATTGTAATAAACTATTATCGCTATCAAGAATAGCAGGTGTAGGATGGATATGGGGTTTGGGTCGGGGAGCCGGGGGCAGTGGAGGAGGAACAAATTGGCCACTAAATTCGCCACTCTTAGATTTTTCCTTATTTTTACCAAAAAGATTTTTTAAGGAAGCGATCTTAATTAATCAAATAATAGAAAATAAATAAAACAAACAAAACTATAATATTAAAAATTATGAGTTGGAACGAGTTTACCGAATTGACGAACAACTTGTTGAAAATTGATTATCGTTGAAGACTTGAAGGTTTCAATTCACCAACTTCACAATTGTTTCACAAATTATAACAATAAAGTAAGCAATAGTAGCAATTATAGAAGAAAATTAGAGAGATTGATGATTTTGTGAGAAAAATAAAAGAATGAGGGGGTATTTATAGTTGAAAATAGGGGAAAAGTGTAATTATAAAAAGTTTAGGGTTAAAATTAAGTTGGAGGAGGGGGGGAGGGGATTAAATGGCTATTTTATAAATAGTCAACGACTATTTTTTAAAGGCCAACGACCAGATTTTTCAAAGCCCAACGGGCAAGTTTTTTTATTTTTTTTGAATTTTGACCGTTGGGACCGTTTGTGCCCGCCAAGGATCGGGACAACCCGGTCCTAAAGTGAAGAACCGGCCCAGAAGACCGGACCAGGTCTACGTACACAGTTCTAACCGGTTCAGGCCCGTTTAGACCCAAAAAGACCGTTTGGTCCGCGGTTCCGGGTTGGTCCCGGTCCTGGATCGGCCTACTTGCCACCCTTCGTCTTAACTGCTACTCCCTCTTTCCAAAAAAGATCCTATAACTTTTAGATTTCAAAAGTTAAACTTCTCAATTTTGAACATAAATTCAGATATTTAATTTTTAACTTATTTAAAGTAAAAATTACATATTTGAAAACTACATAAAAGTACTATAAGTTACAATAATTAAAAATTCAAAATATTTAAAAGATATATAAGAAAGTCGTGGTCAAATAACAACTCATTTTCATTTGACTCTCGAATAAAAAAAATATGAACTGAGGGAGTATCAATTTAACAACAATCAGTTTAATATTAATTCATGATTGAATTGCACATGGCCTTTTAAACTATGGCTTAGGAGATGATTTCTTAAATGGTCGTCCAAGTTAAAGAAGCGACTCAATAAAGTGACTTTTGCTTGTTTTTATGCCAATAAAATTACTTATCTTTTCTTCATTATCCCACATTAACATAAATCCTACCTGAAAAGTTATAGAAAATGACATAAATGGTCATCTAAATTTGACTTTTGAGGGTAAGTTAAAGTTGTTATATTAATAGAGCTTTGTTTATCAAAACTAAGCATTTTAGGTCTCCTGTTAAAAGTAAATAGAATCAACTGAGGGAATACACAGACAATCACAGTGTATGGCTCAGAGAAGCTTGCTTTGTCCCTGAAAGATGCTGGATTACACCCTCAGGTCAGCCTTTTTGTTGAGTTGAACTAACTCATGAGCATAGGTGGAACTGAGATTTCAACCTTATGAGTTCTAAATTTTAAAACGACGATTTCGAGTATTAGTGACTAGATTCTAAATTTTAATATTTGTACATAGTTAATGATTGTGCCTCCGCCCTTGCTCATGAGAACAACATGCTGAATGATATATATATAGTCTCTTGGAAGTTTTGTGGTAGTTATAAATAGCTTTTGCTGAAAAGTGTTTGTATGTGAGTCAGAATTGGCAATGAATTCAATTAGATGCACTTTGGTCTATGAAACTCGTTATTTTCTCTCAATTTCTCTGAGATCTCTCTCTCTCTCTCTCTCTCTCTCTCTCTCTCTCTCTATATATATATATATATATATATATATATATATATATATATATATAAAAGGGCAATGAGTTGGCACCTTTCTTTGGCCAAAGATTCTATTTATCTATTATCTCAATTTTTTTTATTTTTTTCCTTTCCCTTTTTATTTATGTGATATTTTAAAGAAAACAAAAGTCACCTCATACTTCTAACTAAATATTAATCCTAAAAGTCACTATTACTTTAACCAATTTTAACACGTGTTTCATTTCCCAAAGGGCTCTCAACTTCTCCTTTATAGTAAATATATAATACTCCTTCCGTCCATTTTTAGTTGTCAAGTATTCTAAAAATAAATTTTCATTTTTACTTGTCACTTTTCGATATCAAGGAAAAAATAATTTTTTTCATATTTTGCTCTTAGCATTAATTAATCATTCCATCATTTTTCAAATTCATTAAGACTATACACCAATTAATATGGGTATCATGGTAAATTATGCAATTTATTTATTATTTCTTAAGGGCTGTGCAAAGTTAATCAGAGGCGGATCTAGGATTTAAATTCTATGGTAAAAATAGCACGGGCTAGCTATTTTTCGGACTAGTAATTCAAAAATAGCTACCGTTTGCAAAGTCATTAAAAAATAGCCACAATTTTGCTGCAACACGGACCGGTCCAGCATGATATACTGGAGATTGGTGCACATGTGTATGAACTTTCAGTATATTATGCTGGAACTCCAACACGCGAAAAGTTCCAGCATAATATACTGGAGGTTGGAGCGCACCTCTATATGAACTTCCAGCATATTATGCTGGATCAGTATATTATACTGGAACTCCAGTATAATATGCTTTCCAGTATAATATTATACTGGAACTCCAGTATAATATGCTGGAGTTCTAGTATATTATGCTGGAATATTTTTCGGATTTTGAACAGTGTTTTCGTTCAAATTTATCTTTATATGAAAAGTGGCTAAATTTCGATTACTTTTGAAATTGTGGCTATTTTTCAATTACCACTTGTAAATCTGACTATTTTTGAATTTCTCTCAATTCTATGGGTTCAACCTTTAGTGTTTTTAGCATTGAATCCATAGTATATTTAGAGTTATGGGTTCATATCTACTATTTTTTGTAAATTTGATAGATTGTTACACATAAATTTATTCTTTGCGTCAAAAGTACTAGGTTCAGTTGAACCCGACACTCGTTTGCTGCATCCGCCCCTGAAGTTAATAGTGGACAAGTAAAAGTGAGTGTAGGCAGTAGTAAAAATAGCAATTAAGGAGCAAATTACACTAGTTTTCTCATAAATTTGGTAATTGTCTGACAATAAATTTGTGTAGAATTTACTCGATGATGAGAAAGGCATTCATTTTGGATTATGGAGAAGGCATCGTTGTAATTTGTTTCTAACGTGACACTTTTGATTGTTATAATATGTTTGGCACTCATTCTGTGTCATTTTCTATTAACTTGGAATGTTTCTCACATACTTCTTTTTTTAAAGAATTTTATTCAAGCTATAAAAGAAAAGATAAAAAGATGTTTAATTAGTAGATTAGTTTCTATTTAAAAAATGATAATATTTAATTATTTTAAATTTTTATAAACGAGTGAAGCGCAGGCTTAGTACACTAGTTAACAGATAATTGAATACCATGATATATCGTTTAATTAACAATTTCATTTGTAAGTGGCCGCGAAATGGTCGACCACTTAAATCTAGCAAGATGTATTTGAATTAAGCTCCTTTTTAACATAAGCTCCTTCAAATATTAGAAGGCTAGATTTGTCAGCAAGAATGTTAATGATTTATCCTGTTATCAACCTTCAGCTAGTTATTCCTGCGATACATTTCTCGACAGTTTTTTTTACCTAACCTGTCTATAATCCATACTCCCTCAATGGAATTGGCAATGTAAAAGACTTTGAAAAGACCAAGTATATATTTGCATAGGTGTAACTCAAGGCCTGCTTCCTACCTATGTTAAGGACCACAGTTATATGATCATTTTTAAAATAGGAAAGACATCTGAAAGACATTGTCACAATATTCTTCAAATACTCATTCAAACAAGCTGAATTTGGCTATAAAATCCCAGGCATTATTACAGTGTCACATTAAAAATTCAATCTTGAGAAGTTTCGAGCAATAAATATCACCACAATTTTTGCTAGAAAAATGACATGAAAAATTTAAAGAAAAAGCAAGAAAGAGAACGCAGGAATAAGTAACACAACACTGGTCATATTTTGCTCTTGTTGGATGCCGTGGCAAGTTCACAAGAAAACGAAAATATCTATGTAAATCAGTCAGCTGTAACTTGGTACTAGCTGCTAATCCCTTAGCAATCTCTTTTAAGGAAACCAAAATACCTTCCTCACAAGTTCACTGCAAAACTCAAATTATGCATCTTCCTCTCAAACTTCATCTGCATATTCACAAATGTAATATGTTAAAAAGAAACTCCCAGCTGACTATAGAGTAAATGTTAAGTGAAAGTAGCGAGAAATTGTTAGAGTTCATAGCCCTTTTCTTTATAAGTAACACATATCCACACAACTTATATGATTTACCATAAACTTATTTCAACCAAACAACAATTGTTAAAAACATCTCCAACTTATCATTGATGTGTGAGGTATTATATTTTCTTTTTTCTTTTCCCGCAACAATTCATGTGCCGCCTTTTCAAGATGTTAGTTTACAACTATGTATATAGTGTAGTCTTGTCCCACATTGGAATAGGAGTAGTATGTCCTTGTATAATATAGCTATAAATAAGGACCTCTTGTATTGTATTATTCATTCAATGTCATATAACAAATTTTCTCCCGTATTTTCTCACATGGTATCAGAGCAATTGTGAGAGATTTATCGCTGTGCATAAATTCCAGCGACTCCGGAAAGAGAAATTAGTCACCGGAAGTCTTTCCGGCGACTTTTTCAAGGCTGTTTGCGTCTGCTTTATCTCCGTCAGTGTTGTGCAAAATCCAACACTACCACAAGAGTAGTCATTGTCCGGCGACCAAACCCCAGTGAAAATCTCCGGCAGCAGCCTCCTGACGCGCCTCCACGCGCCACTAGAAGCTCACGCGCGTGAGCTCACGCGCCGGCGCGTACGATCACTTCCGACCATTTTTTGAAAAACTTCCTTCAGAACAGTTGGGTCGCCTTGTAATTCCGATCCTACCCCTATTATTTTCATTTCATTCCGACCACTTTGAATTTTTTCCGGCTGCTGCAGTACTATTACGACAGCTACAGTAAGATTCCAGCTGCTACAGTATTTCATTATTCTGTTTCTGTGTTTCCTTACTTTGTTTCAGTGGATTACAGTTGATTCTTTCTCTTATTTGGTAATAGTTTGCAACAATGTCTTTGGGATTTGATGCTTTTGGGTCTAGAAACATGAGTTCCGGAAGCTCTAGTATTATTATTACCTCGGAACCTTTAATGGGAGGTTCAAACAACTTAGCTTGGGCTTCATCTGTCGAGTTGTGGTGTAGAGGCCAAGGTGTTCAAGATCATCTAATCAAACAGTCTAGAGAAGGAGATGAAAAGACAATAGCACTTTGGACAAAAATTGATGCTCAATTATGTAGCATCTTGTGGCGAGCTATTGATTCCAAGTTGATGCCCTTGTTTCGTCCATTCCAGACATGTTATTTGGTTTGGGTAAAGGCATACACCTTATACACTAATGACATATCTCGCTTCTATGATGTGATATTGCGGATGACAAACTTAAAGAAGCAGGAATTAGATATGTCTACTTACTTGGGTCAAGTACAGGCAGTCATGGAGGAATTTGAGAAGTTGATGCCAGTTTCTGCTAGTGTTGAAAAACAACAAGAGCAGCGACAGAAGATGTTTCTCGTTCTTACCCTCGCTGGACTTCCTAATGATCTTGATTTAGTACGTGACCAGATTTTGGCTAGTCCGACTGTCCCGACAGTTGATGAATTATTCTCTCGATTACTCCGCCTTGCTGCAGCACCAAGTCACCCAGTGATCTCATCATAGATATTTGATTCCTCTGTTCTTGCATCCCAGACAGTGGATGATCGGGCATCTCAAGCTATGGAGCATAGACGAGGAGGAGGTCGTTTTGGAAGATCTAGGCCCAAGTGTTCTTATTGTCACAAACTTGGACACACTCATGAAATGTGTTATTCCTTACATGGCCGTCCACCCAAAAATGCTTACATTGCTCAGACCGAGACTCCAGGTAATCAGGTATTTTCTTTATATAAAGAAGAATATAATGAGCTCCTTCAGTATCGAGCAAGTAAGCATACATCTCCATAAGTAGCCTCAGTTGCTCTGACTGATACTTCTATTACTGGTAATTCTTTTGCTTGTGTTTCCCAGTCTAGCACTCTTGGCCCATGGGTCACGGACTTAGGCACTTCTGATCACATCTTTGGTAATATATTACTTTTGTCAAATATTGTATATTCACAGTCTCTTCCAACTGTTACTTTAGCCAATGGATGTCAAACTAAGGCAAAAGGAGTTGGACAAGCTAATCTCTTGTCTTTTATCACCCTAGATTTCGTTCTTTATATCCCTGGCTGTCCTTTTAGTCTTGTATCTGTTAGTCGTTTGACTCGTGCCCTCCATTGTGGTATATATTTTATTGACGATTCTTTTATTATGCAGGACCGCAGTACGAGACAGACAATTAGTATAGGACGTGAATCAGAAAGCCTTTACTACCTTAACTCACTCAGTCCTTCCACAACATGTCTAGTTACAGATCCTCCAGATCTAATCCACAGACGTTTAGGACATCCGAGTTTATCCAAGCTTCAGAACATGGTGACTAGTTTATCTAGTTTGTCTACATTAGATTGAGAGTCGTGTCAGCCTGGGAAACATACCCGAGCCTCCTTTTCGCGTAGTGTTGAGAGTCATGCAGAATCTGCCTTCTCCTTAGTTCATTCTGATATATGGGGTCCTAGTAGAGTCCGTTCAACCTTGGGATTTCGTTATTTTATTAGTTTCATTGATGATTATTCAAGATGTACTTGACTTTTCTTAATGAAAGATCATTTTTCTATATTCTAGAGTTTCTGTGCTGAAATCAAAAACCAATTTGGTGTTTCTATTCGCATTTTTCGCAGTGATAGTGCCTTAGAATATTTATCTTCTCAATTTCAGCAGTTTATGACTTCTCAAGGAATTATTCATCAGACATCTTGCCCTTATACCCCTCAACAAAATAGGGTTGCTGAGAGAAAGAATAGGCACCTTATTGAGACTGCTTGCACATTTCTAATTGAATCTCGTGTTCCGTTGCATTTTTGGGGCGATGCAGTTCTCACAACTTCTTATTTGATTAATCGGATGCCTTCATCTCCCATCAAGGATCAAATTCCGCATTCAGTATTGTTTCCCCGGTCACCCTTATACTCTCTTCCACCCCGTATTTTTGGAAGCATGTGTTTTGTTCAACTTAGCCCCTGGGAAAGATAAGTTAGCTCCTCGTGCTCTCAAGTGTGTCTTCCTTGGTTATTCTCGTGTTCAGAAGGAATATCGTTGTTATTCTCCGAATCTTCGTAGGTACCTTATATCAGCTGACGTCACATGTTTTGAGTCTAAACCTTTCTTTACTTCTGCTGACTACCATGATATATCTGAGGTCTTACCTATACCGACCTTTGAGGAGTTTACTATAGCTTCTCCTCCACCTTCGACCACAGAGGTTTCATCCATACCAACCGTCGGGGAGTCTATTGTTACTCCTCCTAGTTCCCCAGCCACGGGAACACCACTCTTGACTTATCATCGTCGTTCGTGCCCTACATCAGGCCCAACTGGTTTTCGTCCTGCACTTGACCCTGCTCCTGCTGCGGACCCTGCTCCTAGTACACCGATTGCACTTAGGAAAGGTATACGAATCACACTTAACCCTAATCCTCATTATGTCGGTTTGAGTTATTATCGTCTGTCATCTTCCCATTATACTTTTATATTTTCTTTGTCCTCGGTTTCCATCCCTAAGTCTACAGGTGAAGCGTTGTCTCATCCAGGATGGCGACAGGCTATGAGTGACAAGATCTCTGCTTTACATACAAGTGGTACTTGGGAGCTTGTTCCTCTTCCCTCAGGTAAATCTATTGTTGGTTGTCGTTGGGTTTTATGTAGTCAAAGTTGGTCCCGATGGCCAGATTGATCGACTTAAGGCCCATCTTGTTGCCAAAGGATATACTCAGATATTTGGGCTCGATTACAGTGATACCTTCTCTCCCGTGGCTAAAGTGGATTCAGTCCGTCTTTTTTTATCCATGACTGCGGTTCGTCATTGGCCCCTCTATCAGCTGGACATTAAGAATGTCTTTCTTCACGGTGATCTTGAGGATGGGGTTTATATGGAGCAACCACCTGGTTTTGTTGCTTAAGGGGAGTCTCGTGGCCTTGTATGTTGCTTGCGTCGGTCACTTTATGGTCTGAAGCAGTCTTCTCGAGCCTGGTTTGGTAAGTTCAGCACAGTTATCCAGGAGTTTGGCATGACTCATAGTGAAGCTGATCACTCTATGTTTTATCGGCACTCTGCTTCAAGTCTCTGTATTTATCTGGTAGTTTATGTTGATGATATTGTTATTACTGGCAATGATCATGATGGTATTACCAATTTGAAGCAGCATCTCTTCCAGCACTTCCAAACTAAGGATCCAAGCAGATTGAAGTACTTTTTAGGTATTGAGGTTGCCCAGTCTAGCTCAGGTATTGTTATTTCTCAAAGAAAATATGCTTTAGACATTCTTGAGGAGACATGGACTAAAGTAGTAATAATTGACAGAGACCACCCTTAGAAGAGTTTCATAGAACCATTTTCATAAATATAAATATTTGAGTACTTTATGCAATGATTTTTCTAAATCTTTTGACTGACCATGTATAATATCATAATTAAAAAGGCCCTACAACAAGCACATGCAACGGATGTAACAAACTCATACTTTTATTAGTCGTTATGCAGAAGAATTCCTATTACATCAATAGGTCAATTCTTACCTAATGATTCAACACAGTTCATGATCAGAAGTCAAAATATTTAATGGATATTGAAAGTTCATCGTTGAAGATTTACTTACTTGAACCAAAGACATAAACTTTAAGCATGTTGTTTCCCAATTCCTCATGCTTTTCCTGGATCTTCTTGGCAAAAGTGACAAGAGGACGACGACATTTATGTAATTCAATTAGCTGCAGCGTCACACTATCTGCAAATCCTTCTGGGATCTCTTTTAAGAGTTTGCATTCTCTGATGCAGACACGCTCAAGGCATTGGAAATAATCATTGGTGGCTGTCCAATATCTAAGATACAGATCCTCAAGGAGTAAACACTTCAATTTAGGGAACCCCATCTCTGTTATTTCCCACTCATTGCCTGAGCAGGCAAGATTTTTCAATTCAAGCACCTCGAGATTGGGCAACTTGCTAAAAATGTTCATGCAATTCCACGGGAGACAAGTACGGCTAAGTGTCAATTTCTTGAGATTTGGTGGGAAAGAACCTGAACTTGGATTGATTAAACACGGCAGCCGGTTGGAAATAAAACCAGGCGGAACTGTAACCATTAGTGCCTCGAGCTCTTTTAAATATTTAAGATTATTATGCCATCCCATCTCGCTCTGAAATTCCTCTGCTTTACCAGCAATTTCCAAGTTCTTTACTTTCTTAATCGCTTCAAATATTTCTTTTGTGCAACAAGAAGGTATCAACCCAGAAACAGTTTGTATGTTTTCCAAAACCAAGTTCTTCACCTCATTTTCTGATACCGTCTGAGGAGTGTCCAAATGCATACACCAACAATGGAGATGCCTTAACTGAAATAATTTCCAAATTCCATTTGGTAAGGAGTACATTTTCCATGAACTAGTGTATATTGGATGTGGACGAACAATGAGAGTTTGTAAATTCAGAAGTTTAGAAATTGGTAATTTTCCAGACCTCCTAATCATCAATGCCAAATACCTTAAAAGAACTAGGTCTAGTATAGCTACGGGGAAATCGAGAATCTTCTTTTTCTCCAAGTCCAATACCCTAAGAAGTTTGAAATGACAGCTCTCAACATTAAGGATTGTTCTAGGATTGACAGAAAAGGAACGTAATTTGCTATAAGCAAGATCAGGGAATCGACGGTGAAAATAAAAGCCCATTGATTGTTGTGACACCCACCTGCAGCATTCAGGAATAACCCATAGAGGTCCATCAATATCGGTATTCACAATATACAGAAGATTCTGGCTGTCGGCTTCTTTCAAGCAGAAATCATGAACAAGATCATGAATCATACATGTCATGATTTTACCATCCATACTTCTCTTGCTAACAATAACTAAACTTTTATCAATAAGAAAATTTAAATGACTAGCAGCCACTTCTTCCAATCCCTCCATTCCCTTTACCTTTAGGAGCCCTTCCGCAATCCATAATCTAATCAACTTTTCCATAGAAATTTCACTAGCTTTTGGAAAAAGTCCAAAATACAGAAAGCAGCCTTTCAGATAAGAAGGAAGATGATTGTAGCTTAAAGCAAGCACTCCGGAGCATTGTTGATAAGCATCAACTTCTGCTAATGAGCTCACACTTTCAGCTACTTTTGTCCACTCGTCCAGTGTCCTCTTGCTGGAGAGAACCTTGGCAACCACAGCAATCATAAGTGGTAAACCATTGCAGTTTTTGGCAACCTCCTTTCCCACATCCTCAAATTCAATCGCAAAACCTTTTTCTGTAAATGCTTTTTGGTAAAACAAATTCCAACTGTCCTCTTGGTCAAGTAAATGCATCCTGAAAGGATCCTTCGGAGAGCTAGCATATTGAGCAACCTCAACGTCTCGAGTAGTCAACAGTACCCGACTTCTTTTACCATCGTCTGGAAGACACAGGCTAATCTCATCCCAAGCGTTTTTGCTCCATATGTCATCCACAACAATCAAATACCTTCGACCCATTAAATTTTGTTTCAAGCAAACGGCTAAATCTGAATCGCTTTTCTTATCAAGGTCTTCTTCCTTCCCAATATTAGCATCTACTAGGAGGCCTAAAAGCATCTTTCTATAACTATAGTCCTCAGACACGGTAATCCATCCACGGATGTCAAAGAAGCTCAAAATTGAGGGATGAGAAAACAGCTTTTTGGCAAAAGTTGACTTACCAATGCCGCCCATACCAGTAACAGAGATGACTTCCAGTTCAGGCGAGCCACTCGTGAGTCGACTCAGCATGTTTGCTTGTTCAATGTTGTACCCCACCATATCATTCTCAAGGGTTGAAGCATGCAATCGAGGTGAACTTGAATCACCAAGTGAGGAATTTCCAGCTTGCGAAGTGTTATTCTGACTGTGCTTGATGAGCTCTTCCTTGAGGGAATCAACATTTTCAATACCTCGTTGTAAGATCTCAGAAAGACTCTCGAGGGCTTCCTTTTGATGGAGTACGTCATGTTGTTCGTCCATTACCACCTTCATCTGTGATTCAACTTCATCTTCTGCTTCATTTGCTATGTGTCTGACTTTTGCCTGCAAATTCTTCGTTTGTTCACCATCAAAATTGTCAAGAAGTTCTTGCAGAGAATCAACCTTCTCGTAGAGTAAATTCAAACTTTCCACATGAGTGTCCAATAGATCTAAGTTTGATTGCAAAAGCTGAAGCTGTTGTATTGTTCCCATTAGAGAAGTTAATGCAACATAAGCAGCCATCTCTCTCTATACTTCTGCAGTAAAGGACCTCCAGATTAGCAAATGGATCAATTTGGACTAGGTAGACACTAAAAATGACAGATATGGTAAACAATAACATTGAATTATTGTATCGCATGCAATAAAAGTGGTCATTGTTTTAACAATTGACTGTTTCACATAGTCTCGTTGGTGAGCTTACTAGGATTCTTATAGTTTTGTCAGAAACTTATATGATAGTAGCGAATTTTTAAATCTCTAGAGCTTTCAAGAAATACTAGCAACAAAACAAAAGAAAATGACTTTATGATAGAAAATATTTTCTTAAAAAAAGATCTATTTCATACCAAACAAACTGTACATAAACTTTAATTGCTCATTTTTTAAACACAACTAGCATTGCACTCAAGAACAACACAGAAGGTTTAGTATGATCCTTCAAATCCTGTAATTAACTAACATGCGATGATAAAATATAATGATCACGACACATATCAAACTCCATATGCAGCAATCCAAAAGAGTGAAGCATAAATAGAATGATATGAAAATTGTAAAATAAGAGAAGCACCTTAATTAAAGCAGAGATCTCTGGCTTATGGCTAGTTCTCCCCCTCGACTGTCAACCACGTGAAGGAACTTTGGATTGAACTGTGTATTGGTCGATATCTCTCTCTTGGAAGCTCTTGAATGTGGTAAATTTGTTTCCCTCACTAATGTTGTGAAAGCTTCTTTATAAGAGAGAGTTAATTGAGGTGAAACAATAACAACAACAAATATTATAATTATAATAGTAGTTGTAATTACATTATCTTCTCTCTATTTTATATTGTTATTGTTATTATTATTTGTTGAAATTATTTGAGCATTTTAACATAAAAAATATTCCATGACTCATGTTAGCTGGCTTATAAGTTGAGGTTAACCACAATTAAGGAACAACATTTAGATTTAAAATATTATTTCTTAATTAATGCCTCTAACATGGATGAGTCATGGAATATTTTTATTTGCATATAGTTTTCTTAATATTGGGTTAACTAGAACGGATCTAGAGCACAACTTATGGGTTCACGAGAATGCAATAGCTTTTGCACAGTCCGTGTATTTTCATTAAGAAATTTACTAAATATATACAAATATTTGACTGTTATCTCAATTACTTATTGTATATTAACTTGAGATTGTTGTACCAACCCATAAAACTTCAAATCCTGGATCATTGTGACGGGAAGCAATTAGACAATCAAAAGTCAACTTAACTCTCAACTTGCAGCATTAATTAAGGGATAACACTTAAACAATGATT